CTTCACTGTAGAAATGGACTATTATTAGCATAAATTTGACACCCGAGGAACACCAACATGGCGGACACTGATTTGAGCAAAGCTTGTGACGTCACATGAAACCCGAGAATTGGACGACAGGAAGTCTTATTACCAATTAATCATAAAAATTGCAATTTCCAAGAAAAAAATAGCCAAGTTATGAAAGAAAGGGGAAAATTAATTTGCATTAAAATACCTACAAAGGAGATGTAAACATTCTAAGGCCACCGCGCCTCCACCGGCGATCAGGCGCCAAAAACAAAAAAGCGCACGCGCTCACGCACGCACGTAACTACAACTTTGAATGTGATTGGTTGATTTAAGGTCATTCCCCAGTATTGCATCGCGCATCCCTACTGCGCATAATTTCACGCGTGATTAGCGCGCGCGCATTAAAAAAAATGGCGGCCTCTTCTTTGCGCCTGGACCTCGCCATAGAGGTAAATCGTCATTTTCTCGAAAACGAGTACGGTGACCTATCATTTTTTTTTCTGTTGTGTTAAATTGAGTAATAAATTTCTCGATGTAAAATAAATATGGGCCAATTCTCAGTGTTGAGCAAGAAACATTGAATGGTCAGAAACGTGAATTTAGCAAGCAATCGTGACTATAATCATGGTGCTATTGTAAGGATTTATATGGTATAAACAAGGTGCTGTTGCTTCTAAACGAGCATGGGGACCCCTCATTTTTATTTCCAAATTTAAGTTCCTACAATAAACAGTCAATAGGCAAAGTTTGACAAAAACCTCAGTGCAGGTTCTATTTCGGTGGAATGACCTTAAACTACAACTTTGAATGTGATTGGCTTATTGAACTGTCCGATAACAAACTGTCCAATAACAAACTGTCCGATAACAAACTTTCCAATAACAAACTGTTCAATAACAAACTGTCCGATAACAACTTGGCAAGTGAATTAGTGGAAAACAGGAATTTTTAAACCAATCACAATCGAGGAAATTGTAATTTTTATGATTAACACTGAAAACACGAAAGGTTACGACCTCGAGAATTCTGATTTAAGGATCAGTCATTAAAAGTCAGCGTCAAAGCATTCCTTTGTAACCAAGGACTGTGTTTTACTTTGCAGACCGAAACCCTAAAATAGTGTTTTTTTGTTGGCAAAAAGTCAACGGAAAGAATGGAACCGTCGGTAGATTGGGCTATTGTGGTACACGTTTTCCGGACCAACTCAAAGTGATGTACAACATATTTCATCACTTGGATAAATAATGTTAAAAAAAAGTCTTTGAAGGCGTCCTAGGATTTTTTTATAGTCTCAGATGAGAGTATCATATAGCAAAGAAAAGATAAAACGAACGCATGTAAAGATATATATATTTTTTCTTTTACTCTGCAAATTCAACATATGTAATCATGTCGATTTTCAAGTTTCCTAATCAATGTTAATGATAGTTTGTAAAGTCCTCCAAGTTTAAACGCTTGGCTACTTACAACTCGTTCTAACATACATAAGTTTTTAAAACCTGCCGAGGTTTATCAACAGTGAAGAGCCTGATGATCTGCCAAATTCTTCCGAGATAGATAACAGGAAATGACTGGAACACTGTAAGAGGAATTTTGATCTAAATCAAGGGCCTTCGATCAGGTACTTCAGTTGTAACCCTTGAGCCAAGTGTGAAAGCAAACACTAATGTTTTAGTGTTGGTTTTATAGAATCAAAGGTGAAGACAAGAGGAAGGATAAAATAATGTTAAGTTGCTTAGGCTTATTTTTAACTAGACGCGTTATTTTCGGAATAGCCTTTTTTTAAGCGATGCTTTATTCCTAAGCTAAATTAAACCTTCGTTATCAACCACTATATCAAATCAACATTCCTCGATCTATTGTTCGTGTAGCTTTTACACCTGAATAAACAAACTCTAACAGGCTTGTATCTTTTCAAAAGTCGCTCTTCTACTCGTCTTTCTCCGACAAACCTTATAAATTAATCACATTATCTTTGACCTAGGTGAACAATTGGACAACCGTTTAGTTATAAATACCGGAGATTAATGTATGCCAAGGTGAACCTTCAAAATTTGCATTTTTGCATTTTTAGCAAAGTTATAATACGTTACCACACGGATGATTTATTGTTTTGTAACTCTTTGTTCTTCTGTTTTCCCTTCGCGAGACAAGCTGGGAAAAGATTTCTTAAAAGGTCGTTGTGGCCTTTCCTCAGCGAGGTATTAATGGCATAATCCTTACTAACAAAACAGTGCAATTTGACAGACTGGCGTTAATAAGCTCTCGCTTCGCACATCAGGCAGTAAATTCTTTATTTTTTTTCCTGACAGAAGATAATTCAAGAGGCGCTCTGCGCTCTGCGCGCGCCCGCTGTTTATAAGAAGATTAAGTTGAGGTCATTCCAAATTCTGCCAGTTATTTTTAAACTTCGTCAAAATTATAATTCTTTGAACGATCGCTTTTCGTCCTTTGAAGATATTGAAGGATATTGAAGAATATCACAGCGTCAAGCAGTCGTAATATTTTCAAGCAAATCGAAAGATTAATTAATACTTAAGCCTCTACTTTAATTGAAAAGTTAATTATTTTCCTATTACCTTGAATAGCGATAACACTTTCCATTTGCCTCCTGCTGTTTCGATTTTTAAAAATATCATTACCACATTTTTTTGCTGTTCACCCCAACTCAACTGCTTCGTGTGTCTCAACGCCGTGGCGGAAATGCAAAAGTTCATTCGTCGTTGAATAAAGTAGCGAACACAGTCGCGGTGGCAAACAAGGAATTGTTATCAAATGTTGCCATAACGAAACTATCTGTGCTAGGATTCCAGAGACACTGACTGGCCATTTCAATGCCTCGGTCACGTATCGCCCCGATGTAAACCAGTGCGATAATCTTGTATCGTGCGCTGAACAAGGATTTGACACCATTTTCGATCATCTGACTAATCGTTTTACACTTAGCTCCGCATATCTCGTGATTGTATTCCATATTGTCGAGGTGTGAAGATAGAACCTGCTGGATAAGATCTTGGATTTTGGAGCTGAACTCCTTACAGTCCAACTCGCAGCCTTTCTGAGCCTCAAAATTAACACCATCGTGTTTATTTACGGTTTCCGCTTCGATGCTTGAAGGGCTTCCTCTGCTATCTCGTTCCTTCCAAGAACTGGCCCGTAACTTGAAGGACAGCACCTTCACTGGACTGCTGCAAGTCTCTCTTTTCAAAGGTGGGGTTTTGCTCATAACCAAATCGTCCAGCGCTTCTCGTGAACCGCCATCTACCGCCTTGAAGAGTTCACTTTCGCTATTTACCGAAAGCGCTTTCCGCAGTTTTGGTCTATAAACTCGTCCACCTCCGAGGGATCTGCTAAAGGCGAGCCCTCGCAGCCGTGACGCGGGGCTTCTTGACCCTGGTTTACCGTTCATTATCTTATTTCACGCACGCTTTTCCACCAATTAAAACAGGCTATTAGTGACAAAGCGAAAACCTGCACGATTTTCGGGCTTCAAATAGCGGTGTCGGTATCTCGATAAGCTCCCAATGTTTACTTTTGGTGTTATCATTAAAATGGTTATATATTAACTCAGTCTGCGTGCTTTATAAAATTGCCGAGCGTTGATGGTTTGATTGACATTAAGACACCCCTCGCATGCAATATAATTAGTCGATGACGTAAACAAGAATCTTCTTTATCTATTACGCATGATCCTACCGTGTGGCACTATTTTAAGGGGCGATTATTGAGGGTTCTAATTTTTGCGAATTTTGCGGTTTTTTCCAAGATCCACAAAAAAAAAGTCCCCGCCACAAAAAACAATTCCCGCAAAAACTTTCCTCCGCAAAAATTTAGTCCACTGGCAAAATTACACATACAAACATCACAAAAAGAATCTTGTACCTGCCATCAGCCACACGAAAACACGATGTAATTGTGATAGAGTGACACTGGTTGCTGGATTACTGTGTTTTACATCGCTAGATGTTGTTTCACTTGTCAATTGCATGCAACAGAGTAAATAAAAAACGCCAAAATGTTTTAATTTCAACTAAATGCAACTTCCCGCAAAAAGATTAATACCCAGCAAGAAAAAAACAGCCTTTTACAATCGCAAAAATTAGTTCCCGCAAAATGCAAAAAGTCGTCGATTCGCAAATTAAAATAAACCCCCGCAAAAATTTAGTGCTACACGGTCAGTCCTGTAGTAAGATAATAAAATGTGGAAGGTACGCACGGCGATCCACTATCGCAAAGTTTGTAAAGGGATAGAGCGGGAAAATTGGCCTGGGAAATCTGAACGCCTTGCTATAAACCGTATGCATATTGGAAACAACTGGCTTCTTCCGGGCGTTCAGTTAGTTGGGGTGCAGCGCAAAAAACTGGCGCAAGAAAAATAGGGGAGATTAGCGGCGCGGGAAGTTCGCTCCTCGCACGAAGCCTCTCTCCAGCCTCGCTCCCAGGGCTTTTCCAATTTAAAAGATAGCAACCCTAGGAACAAGGTTGGCCTCTCTCTCGCTTTCTACGCCCCGTCTTTTTTTCGCGGTGCCGTACGTTTTCTCTCGCTGCGCCCCAAATAACTGGACCCCTGGAAGTAACCTGCCATCAGGGAGGGAGGGTATAATCGCAGGTTATCCTGGAAGAGGCTTGGAGACAACAAACCGCCGTGCTGGAAATTAAAATGAAGCAATAGCAACGAGGAGAACAACAACAGCAACAAGCTCTATTTGCATATAATATATTAAGCAATTAGATTATGAGCTCGAGATTTCTATGCGCCCTCGTCAACTATCACGAATAGAAATCGAGAGCGAACAATCTTATTGTTTTAGTATATATCTACTAGTCGTTCAAAACTTTAGCTAAATCCTCTTCACAGACACTTCGAAAATGCCAAGAAGCGGTCGTCCTTTTGTTAACAAGCGCACACTGCTGCGCTACTTACTATCTATCACAGAATAGAAAGTGAGTAGCGTAGCCAACCACAGAACGGCATTAGTGATAGAACGCTAGTAGCTACTGCTAAAATATAATATATAATAAATTCATATTATGCCTGATAATATAAATCGCTGCATGGTATTGAAAAGGCCCTAATTGTAAACGTGTTGGACAGCATGCGTAACGTCGAGAGAAGCATCGAGATGAGGAGGATTTTGCCAAATCTGATCAGATTTTCAATAAAATAAGCCTTAAATTACTTCCTATAAATAACGGTCTGCCCATGTGTTATACCGTTTAAGGGGAGGCGTTCTTAACTACAGCGTTAGAGCAGTTGCTAAGGGATTGCTGAAGGTGACATTTACAGAAAAGCTATTTTGGAGCGTTTTGCAGTGCTAAATGGTGAATTTTATACGAAGGAACGTTTGCTTTGAAAAACATATGATTTCGCGTGCGTAACTAGTGCCAGTCCCAAACCGCGTGCTAGAATTTTTAAGCCCTAAAACTTGGAAGAAAAGAGGAAGAGTTGCGATTTTTCTTGTGAATCAGAAATAACTTAGCCTTCTTTAAAACCGTACGTATGGAATTACTTTTTGCACGTATAAGAGGAAAGTTACAGTAGAAAGTCTGTTAATACGGGCGTTTATTACCTCATAACTTTTATAATAATGCGCATAAAACCCATGCGTAGCATTAAGCGCCTGGACGTTCTTAATCTATTGACACTAATTTAAATTTTTGGATTTACATGGCTTTTAAGTTTTAGGGTTTTTTTCTATTCTGGTCACATGACTAGTCAAATATGGCCGTGATTTGCGACTTTTGCTGGACTCTTCAATGGAACAAACCTGTACAAAAAGCTTATCATTGAGAGGTCTGGTTTTGAAAATATGAAGAACCTTCCATAAGACCAAATTCATGACGAATTGGTAGTTAAGAAGAACCCCCCTTAAATGTGTTTTGCTGCGAATAATGTTCTGTTCATACGTCATTGTAACCACGCTATCTTGTGAAAAATGGCAGATCAGTTACTGAGCTGTCAGAGAGGCAAATCGATAAAACAATTAGTTATTCCTTCAGTCTTATTCTTCGGCCATTTTTTCTAGAAATAAATGAAAAGGCACACTGCGGTGACAAACAGAACAAATCAAAGCATGTTGTGAAAACTGTGATTAAAAAAAATTAGCGTTTCGTACCATAACAACATACATCGTTTATAAAAGCTAAATTATCTCAACGGACACTTCTGAAGGTGTTTATTGTAGCATACGAAACGTCGAAAAACTAAACCTATCTGAACGCGTGAAAAATAACTTTAAAATCATGTTTAATTCAATACAGAGCACTCTACCTTATGAAATCAGCTGTAATGTTTATATTATTTTAATTGCCAATCACATACTTAAATGAAAGTGTGAAAAGATCAAGCTTGTCAGTCCATTTCATACATATTATTTAATATATTTCAATTTATGACAGAGGAGGGTAGGAAAATTACCAAAATGTCAAAACAGCAAATATTAAATACAGACTGGAAAATAATCTTCCTTTCGGAAAAATAATATGGTTGACTTTTTATTTTCAAGAAAACAAGAAAAAAGTCTTTTTATTCATTAAAATTAACGGCTGCCTCCGGCGGAGACTTGATTTACCATATACACGATCTGATATTTAATCTTCGGCTCAAATGTTATTCTTTATATTGACCGCGGCACGGCGGGTTAACATTCACGCCGGTGGATAAGATCCATAATACTCAGTATGGCTGTTCTACTAAGGTTAGATCGAGCTACATCTTCATTTGTATTGTTATTCCTAAAAAGACATTGATCTATAAACAGAGTTACTGAGTGTGGCATACTCAGTTGTATTACTAATATACTTTCAGTTTTCCCCTAGAATTTGTTAAAATCAGTTAATCTGTAATTCACTCTTTCAAAACCCCGAAAACGATAGCAACTGCGAACAACGAAGAGTTTTGATACGAAGACGTGGAGAAATTATCTTTGCATTCATTCCAAAGAAAGCGGCTGGCCATCAAGATACCTTGTCCACTAATTGATCCAATGCTCACACTGCAGATCAAACGAAATCTTTCCATTCCTAAATTTTTGACGCGGCTTTTAATGTCCTCTGACAAACTGATACACAACACACGACAAATGGTTGGATCGTAGGACTGAGTTGAGAGTTTCTCTTCAAGTATTTCGTCCATTATTTTCTTGATCTTGTGCGCGTAAAATACATGATGTTTCTGTTGCTCTCCGGTTGAGTCCATCACACTTTGCTGTCCAAAAAGATCCCCGTTTTTCTCGCGTTTTCCTTGTTCTTGCATCCACTGTGCTTTCTGTTGCGTTCCTGCGTTTTTTGTAGGGTCGCTTCGCAAGCTTTTCTCAAAAATCCCACTGTAGGAATCTCGAAATTTTCCCTTCATGTTTCCGTACATTTTCAACCAGTTCCTACGACGAATATTGCTGTATGCGAAAGAGAGATTTCAGTTTGGATTGAACACTGCACAGACGGCAATAATATATGCTTTGTATCCTAAAATATTTATGTTTCTTACGGGGCATTGAATTAATTCCTTCCTGCGAGGTTCGGGCGCTGGCTATTGAACCTAAAGAGTCCAAAGGTTCTTAAAATGGCGAAATGGAGAGTTCATTATTGTTTTTACACCAAACCACAACAGGGGAACGGAAAAATATTCTTTTGAGCGAATCAAAGTAATGGCAGATGTTTTTACAAGAGTGTCTCCATAGAAACTGGCTTTTATCGTATTGCTGGAAAAGCCCAAGATACATGCTGTGTTTTGCTGATCTGTTACCAATATTTCACAGATTAACAACAGTAATCACAATTTATAACCACGCGTGAAATTTTATTCTTTAATTCTTTTACAAGCTTTATTTAAGTGCGGATATACTTTAGATAAATATAGCATTAGTCACCCGTTCTCTACGGTTTCCTTTTGCCATCAAGAGAAGCAGCATTTCCTACTGCGGGAGATGCAATTAAAATAATATTTACTTTAGAAAATTTGCATCTTTATTGGTGATCTCATGTTAAGGAGGCTAGCGAAATTTCAGACAATACCTGGTTGGCAGACACCTTTTTCAGTGTAACACGGTGATAAAAACGAAGCTTAGTGAGCTTTTGAGAAGATTAACTCAAAGTTGCAGTGCTTTCATGCAAACTAACTCAGTTTTAAATTCAGAATATGAATCCTAACCCTGAGTTTTGTCACGATACGCTAACAGTAACGAAATTTCCTTCATGGCCTTTCTCATTTTTAGGTATCAGTATACCCCAAATGAACAAAACTCGTTTGCGCCGGTTTGATTCAAACCCCAGTAATAAAGTATTTATTTTCTGAAAGCATTGCTCATTTAATCGATCTCTCATTTTAATTTCCGATGGCGTCTACAAGTGACAGCGCTCGCTCGGGTTCAACTTGGAAAAAAGTGCACCCCTGAGGGCAAATTTCCGTTGAACCATTCCGAAGAAATCCGAACGGATTATAAAACTAAAAACAAGGCACAAGTGCCTCGCGAGTGTCACGCAAGTATAGCGTTACTTATGTTGCTTGGCAACTCGGGATCATGTGTTCTCACTAATTTCTGTAGGAGCCAAAACAGCAGAAAATAAAAATTGGGTCATGAGAGGCCAGTGGGGCGGTCCGGAGACGATTCAGAAGTTCTTCAGGGCACCGGTTACCGAAGCCAGTTTTCGAAGATATCTCGTTTTCCGACTTCGTACCGACTAACCGCGAATTTCAAATTCAAAATGGCCGCTAGATAAGAAAGGACAGATCGCTAGCAGCTAGTGAGTCCATGATATTGACGGTCTCCAAACCTAGCAAAATATCACTTACGGTAAGCATTAGCGGTCGGAAAACGAGAGCTCTGGGAGCAACCATTTTGAAATAACCGAATTCTGGTGATTCTGCCCATCCGGTTTCACTGCACGGTCTGCATCTATGGCGCATGCCTGAAATGGTTGCTCCCAGAAACACAGCGGTCAAACGCCGGGCATGCGCAAATGGGTACATTTTTTGGCAGCCGCGCTCCAATTTCCCGCGCAAAAATCTAAAGGAAAACATGGGAAATAACCGGTGTCACGCAAAATTTACAAAAAAAAAATTGAAAAGTTCATAGAAATCTGTAAAAGGAAAAGAAAGTAGGTAAAAGGAAAACTTAAAACTTTTCAGACACAAAGTTTATTGAGTTACCGGTATTCTGCTGATTTACCATTTTGTTTTGAGCTTTACGAAAAAAGTTTATGTCTTGAAAACCCGTGTCATGCTACGAACCGACGGCGTAGTATATTTTTATTTCTTTTTATTAATCATACGATGCATGACGCCGGAAACGGACGACAAACGGTGTGTAAAAGAAGGAAAAATGGAAGAAGAAAAAGACAATTGCAGTGATTCGGCCTCGCTCAGACGAGCTGGAAAAATTTTGGCAAGGACTGTGGGGATTCCATCTGGATCCAGGATTTGTCTGAAGCACAGGAACGAGATGAATCGAAACGACAAACGATGTTCATGTCCATCGTCATGGGGGCATAGCTGGCCAAAATACCGATCCCAAACCGCCTGTACCAGGTCTTTGACCAAGTGGGAAAATCTTTTCTAAGCTACAAACCTGGAAAAAAACTGGTGCACTAAATGCAAAGTGTAGGCGGACAAAAAATTCAAGGAGCACGGAAAATCCATACCGCGGGAAAAAAAAGAACTGCAACAAGCAGAAGGTAGCACAATTTTTAACTCTTATTTCTGTTAGCTCTCGTTGTACAGGCTAAAACATAAGCAAATATATAAATAACGAGGAAAATGTCATTTATAGGATGCCGATGACCCACGAAAAGAACAATGTCATGAAAATATTTTGACCGCCTTTTGGTCGCTCCATTGCTCGCACATGCGCAGACGTTTGACCGCTGTGTTGCTCCCAGAGCTCTCGTTTTCCGACCGCTGGTCAATGGGAACGAAGACTCTGGGAACGAGATTGGATTGACCCCAGAAGTCCTCGCGCGTTGTTGGCGCATGCGGGAACTGTACTTGCATGACGTCAGGTGGCTGGTTCTTTCAAGGATTGCACGCTTGTAGTAGTGCAGTCGTTTCAAAGTGGAATCGGATTTTCTTACTGTTCACAGTGGTCTTTCACTATCCTGGACCTACACGGGCGTGCAGAGTAAAACCACAACATGATTGTAACGTTTAAAACTCTTCAGCAACAGTCTTTCAAGATAGAAATTGAGGAATCTGCCACGGTGGGTTTGACAATCTCATTTAGTCATCTTTCGATCTTTACACCATTTTACCATCTAGGAAAACGTTATTTGTTTCGCAAGCTGGGCTGTATGGTACAATTGATCTATGCACTGGCTTTCAGTATCTTTGCTTCATCGGATTCTTTTCTTGATTGCGTTATTAGGACGAGTTCTCCAAATTTCATCTTTCGCTACATCCGGTTCAATGGTACATTTGCGACAAGTTGGCTTACTTTCTCGAAAAGATCTGATAGATTTTAAGTGTTTCCAGCAATTATATTTGTAGGGGCCTTTCGGAAACCTGCGTGTTTTTGTCCCATTGAAAGAATTCGGATTTCCTTCTGTTAACTGAATGACTGAATGACCAAATATTAGTCGAAATGAGGTTATTTCTGCAAGTTTCATTGTTCACTTCTGTTTTCACCCATGTTATGTGGTTATTTCCCTTGACAATATTTCACTTTCGCAGTGTTCTTTCTGAGTTAATATCAAGATATCCATGTTACTGAATTAAACTTGTTGTATATGCTTTTCTGTAGCGTTAAAAATCGCGCAAAAATATTAAATGATGTCCAGGCTTTGATTTCAGTTGTAGCAGGCCAGGAAATAGACTGTTACATGTAAAATCCTCATGAAAGCTAACACATTTCTTTTTATGTCACTTAAGAAAATATCCCAAAGACAGCATGTGCACCGATTAGTTAAAAACTGTGTTTCTGACTGTAACTCGATAGAAACATGCAACTAGCACGAGCTGTTGATGTATTGATGGCACAAGCAAAGAGAATTTACACTTTGATGATCAAAGTAAACAAGTTGTTTTCTTTTTTTCTCTGTATTTTCTGAAAGAAATAGATAACATGTTCTGTGTGTTTTCGTTGAGTTTTAGATTACATCTTCTAGTGTTCTGTCACGAATGCCATTCCCTGATTAGCTACGCTACTCACTATATCTCTTCTGTGATAGATAGTGAGTAGTGTAACATTGTGTCTTCGTTAACAAAATGACGGCTGCTTCTTGGTGTTTTCAAAGTGTCTGTGAAGAGGATTTAGATAAAGTTTTGAATGACTAGTAGATTTATACTAAAACAGTTGTTAGATTACTCGCTCTCAATTTCTATGCATGATAGTTGACTCAGGCTGCACCCTTGTTAACTATCACGTAATAGAAATCTTGAGCTCATAATCTAATCATTTAATAGAAACACTCTTGTAAGTTTGGGAGAACTCTAGACCTTCCTGTGTGCTAAGTTTAGTTTGAATGGGAAACGTGATTGAAGAAATAATTAAAACAGTTATACACGTATGCACAACTCTATCAGATAGGTAAAAGCGCACTATCTGTTAGAGTGGCATGTGTAACTGTTTATTTCTTCAGTGACCTGTTGCATTCAAAACTTAACTTAGCACTGAGGGATGGCTAGGCCCAAAACGTGTGCCACATATATATTATTATAATTGAGTTTATTTTGGCACTGAATTATTACTATTGACAACTTTTAAACGATCCTTTTGGATTACTAATATCTATCTGAAGACACTGTCCTAAAACCAAGGATGTTGAGCTGGATATCAGTTAGTCCATTTTCAAGTTGACCAAGACTCGGTTCTACTTAGTGCAAAGCATTGCTGCAATTTGCAAACAGCATTAAAATGGGTAACTGCACTTTTTAGCTAGCCAAATAGTAAAAATCAAGTGCAACGAAAAGGTACGTTGTATTGCTTGGCCAAGGAATTTCCACATTGTGCTCTCCAGCTTTTGTTCCCAAGCCGACCTTTGTTACACAAATCTTTCCTGCTCGTATATCTTGAAAGAAACTTAGAAAATGTGTTTTCTATTTCCGAAGTTGTAAAGTAAGAATTTTACTTATATTAAATACATTCAATATACATCTCGGGTCCTATTTCAGGTAGCAGATCTGAAAAATAAATTAGAAACAGAGAAAGGAAAAGATGCTTATCCTAAGTCAAACGTCAGACTTATATATGCTGGTAGGTACATAAATTATTCAATTATGCATTTAACTGAGCTGACAACAAAGAGAAGCTCCCATTCTTCCAGTGGTCAGCATTTCTTGGTTGTTTAGCACAGGTGCAAAGTGTCCCATTGTAGTAGCATGTTTTAATGTGAATAGTAGTTCTGTTCTCGTATTACTGTATGTGTACATCTCCGGAGAGTTATACTTGTTGGCCATTATGTACATGTACACACACCCAGGGTTGTAACTAAAAAATAGTCTGCCAGCCTTGATTTTCATTGAGCCAGTTTGATCAACCAAATGGTAGGTTCGCCATTTTTCACAAGAGACCTGGAACAAAATTTTTGTCCCCAATTGTTCACAATGCCTTGAATGCAGGGCTACCAAACTGCACATTTACAAGATGGCGAACGCAGTACACGGAAAGAGAACAAGCTAAGCTAGTGCTCAAAACAATATTTTATTTCAACTACTTTAAACTCATTATAGTAGCACTAATACTCAATGTAGTCAAGAATTTATTCCAAACTTTTCTTTTAGACAGTTCAGTTTGGTTCAGATCTCAAATGATCGTACATGTTTAATCTAAAAATGGTTTGTTGTCCTTAACCAAGTGAACGCCAAAATCCAGCCTGCGTTTTTCTCTTTCTCAGCCAGTGAATTTTGCTGGCAGCCAGCGCGTAGTGACAACCCTGCATACCTGTACTTGTACTAGCATTGTTAAGGAATGTTGTCATGTATAATGTAATTTTGTCACAAAATGTCTTTGACCCCAGGCTAAACACTTTTCCAATGTCACATTTAGTGAACTCTCACCTAAACAAATCAAAAGAAAACATTCCTCGTCCACAAAATACAGGGTGAAATTGTTTTATTTTGTTAGCCAGTCCATCTAACAAGTGTTGAATTGGAATGTTTGATGTACATGAAACCAGTCTGAGCTTTGAATGCAAGACTAGTGTGGCTGCCAAATAAAATATTGACTTCCTTACATGTACATGTTACTATGTGTTTATCTCATTCTTGCATTTGGACTGACATGGGGTAGTATAATTTCAAACTAAAAGTTGTTTGTTTTTAGGCAAAATATTAAATGATGACCAGCCATTGTCAGAGTATAAAATAGATGAAAAGGGATTTGTTGTCGTCATGGTGACAAAGGTAATTATCTTTAATTAATTTATGTTTCTGAAGGGGAAGCCCAATTTCTCAAAGCCTCTAATTATTATGCAAACCTAGCATTATTTGAACCAAAAGTCTTGTCCCTTCCCCTTGACCATACTCTGTTATTTTACCCCTGATTTCTCGGACTACAGAATAAACCTGCATGTAAGAACCTACATTTTTGAAGTCTGGCAAAATAGGATCTTAATTTTTGGGGTAGTTACTGGCAATTTAGGCTAAGTAGGTTCTTATTAGGTTCTTAATTTCTAAGAAGGAGATACATGTATAGTTGATGGTTATTGAAAATACAAATAAACTTGGTTATGTTCCTGAAATATACACTGTACAATATTTATTTACAATTGTATTATGATAAGCCAAACACCACTGATTACAAAATGATTATTATGTAGTGGTGCCTCTACAACAAGAGTTCATAATTTAACTGTAACCCACATGTAAGAACCTGCTTGATCTTGCTTGGCTAAACAGGTTCTTATATTATTTCATTTTAAAGTGGCAAGTTTCTGCTAGCAGGTTCTTAAACCACTAGGTTCTTACATGTGGGTTTTTACTGTAGCTGATTTTTCAAACCAATTTTGTTTTCTCTTGGAGGGTCCAAAACATTCACATGCCTCTGTATTTTCCATCTAACTTATGCAGTGTACAATGTAGAACAAAATTGTACCTTACCCACCCCACAAGACCAAAAGTTTGTGCAAAGTTCCTCACATACATGTATCCCTATTATTTGAACTGTCTTCTGAGGTCCAGGCAGCTCATGGTTTCTCTTGGTAGTAGTTACATATAAGTGACATGTTGTCCAGGGGTCTCATTAAGGGCTGTGCATCAGGTAAATTGACTGGCTGTGAGGACAAATTTGCCCACCTGGAGTTACCATCTAGTGGAAAGTTCTTCTTATAAAGAAGTTCTGTTCAAATAGTTTTGCCCGCCTGTGAAGACCAGTTGCCCTCCCTCTGAAAATGTTAGAGAAAACCCTGGTTTCCTCTTGTAAACAACACCCCCATTGCATGTAAATACACAACAGTTTTCGACATTAGCTAAATGTAGCCTGGGGAGTTTTTAAAGTGAAGCTTTTTTCTTTCAGCCCAAACCTCAAACAGTGGCTGCACCTAGTCAACCTGTAACAACACCTCAGGTACAAGATACGTAATTGCTCTCACAGTGATACCTTAACAAACCCTAGAATTTTACAGTAACAGTAGTTGTCAATGTTGTATTGCTACCATGTTCAAGAAATTGGGGAACTGAAAGTCAGCAGGGCTGCAAATAACGGTCAATCATCAGACATTGGCCGACCAAACTTTACGTGTGTCCGATGAAATACCCAACTGTGGTTGGACATGATGCCCAGACTATTTTTTATTGTAAATCATTGTACGGGATGACTAAAAATCTTCATCGAGTAAATCTTACTTTTTTGGTGATGTCTGAGCACAATTTGTTTTGTTCGACCAAGATGGTGTCTTAGTAGGACATAATTATGTCCTTTCAAGAGGAAAAATTATTTGCAGCCCTGAAAGTCTGTTTCACATTGACATGTGGAGCCTTAACCAATCAGAAAAATCCAAATCAGGCATGAAATTTTGATGCAAAATGTTTGCATCACTGTGTGGCCTAACAAGCTATATACAGAGTGCAAACTCTTTTGTAATTTTTGTTCCATGTAGCCAACAGCTGCTACAGCCACAGAAAGCACTGCCAGATCTGCTGATGCCTCTAAACCCGAAAGGTGAGGGAGTAATCCAGTAATTATAAATTATGCTGCAAATATAAGTAATTACATTTTAAATTATACATGTACATTTAGCATCCGTTGTCTCCATTTGGCACCACTGGTCATTACATGTACTTGGTCACAGGCTTTTAGCCAGGATTAGAAAAGTGGCTGTCCACCCATTGATACGAAGCCGAAAATCTGCTATATACTTATTTATTTTCTCCTGAAAGATGGCTGTCCACATGACGGTTAGACGGACACCTGGCTTTAAGCTCGCTTGGGCAGTATTTGGCCTATAATAGGACATTTCCGAGTTACCTTGTGTCTCTGTTTTAAATCGAGTCCTTGTGCAAAACCTTTCATATTATGAGTTTGATTTACACGAAAATGAACCTGTAGGTGCGGCAGAACACATTTTCAAAAACATTATTTTGCACAAAGACTTGTTTTGACACAGAGGGAAAAGTCAACTCAGAAATGGCCTTCTTTAAATTTTTGGCTTGGAAAGATTTCAATTTGGATTTTGAAAGCTTAAGTTTGTTTTTCCTCCTCTTCTTTTTGATTTGACTGACCACCTTCTAGCAGAGTGTAAGGAAAGTCCTTTTTGATACCTCAGGGTAGTGGATTTTCCAGTCTGGTTGGTAATACAATTTAAAAGAAAAGTGCCTACTTTCCATGAATGCAGTGTGTTTTTAATTATATGTTATTTGTAAATACTGAAGAAATCACAGCAGTCAGATTTAAAACTACTCCTTGTGGTCTTTCTCTCCTCGTTCATTCTTCTCCTCTTAATACTTCTAGTACCGATGCTGCAAAGCCAGCTGTCACAGAAGAAACTGAATCAGCGACAACTTCAACAGTTTCTACCTCTGCCCCATCGTCAACTGCAGAACAAGTTCTGTCTACTGCAGAGTCGACTCTTGGTAAGCTAACAACTGCTGGAGTGTATACGGACCACCATTAAATTCAGATGGCTATCAAGTTCAGAGTTTTTCCAGTCACTTTCCCAGTTACTCTCTGAGTTCTCTCTGTCTAATCATTATTACTTACCAGGTGTATACAATGTAGTGTACATTGTGTGGGCCAAGTTAAGTGTTTTGTTTCTTGGCAGTTACTGGATCAGAATATGAAAGCATGGTAGATCAGATTTGCTTAATGGGATTTGAGAGAGAGCAGGTAAATCATACAAGTCCAGTACATATGGCTAGTTATTATATGGCTGTGTCTCACAAGGACTGGGAACTACCAAATTCACGAATTTGATTGGTTGAAATCAATATTGACCGCAGTTTAGATTTTCCCATCTAGACTTGCATCTCGACTGATTACATTTTGCTGTGAAAAAGTTGCAAACTAAATACAAAAATATTGACTATATTCTTCCAAAATATTAGTGCCAGAAAATATTCATATTATGGAAGTCCCAAGCCTGATGAGGAAAAAAGTAAAGAGGACAAGCAAACTTTGGTAGAATTACCTTCAGCTCATTGCTGTTCGCAAGCAAAATGTCAGCTAGTACAAACCATTTACATTAAACAAATTAATTTTTTCTTCTTTGCCATATAATAAAAATCTTATTAACCAAGCTTAGTCAGTCTGTATGTGAGAATCTTGACCTCGGTCGTGTGTACAGACCTCACTGTGTTCGGTCTGTACTCCCGACCTTGGTCAAGATTCTCCCATACAAACCTCCTGCTTGGTTAATAAGAGCTAAATATTGGACTGGTTCTGTTTTTGCATGTTTATGGACCAAAACTCAATGATCATATCAAAGTGCTACTATGATCAAATTTTAAAGTGTCTATACAGCCAACAGGGTTTTGTGGTTTTGGTATCTCTATAAAGGGCCAAAAAGTATCTAACAAAAGATTACTGTAACTCTATCCTGTCCACTTAGGTGGCCAGTCACAGTATGCAATTTGGTTTGTGTTACCCACTCTCTTAGTGCTAGCCATGTAATGATCATTGTTGTTAACTGAATTGTTAACAGGAAACCAAAAAGTCATTCTGCTTTTATGTGGTGTGGGAAAGTCAATAATTTTTTAAAACCAGCGCCTGTGGTAACCACGCATTCATTGTGGCTGCTTACTAACAGGTTGGACGGGCCCTACGAGCAAGTTTCAACAATCCCGACCGAGCTGTGGAATACTTGATGACTGTGAGTGTCCATTATATTTTAGGGCCTTTTTAGAATGGAACTGCATTGAAATACTTTTTCATCTTAAATAGAGCTACTGTAGATTGATTAATTAGCATATTTGAATGGCTGCCACTTTGAAATGTTGTCCTCCATGGTCAAGTTGTTGAAAGGATGAATAGCTGTATCCACGGTGTTAATATTGTTATCTAAGTTACATGTATAGCAAGGTCTGTTTATTGGATACCAAATTATACAATGGATAGCAGTGTTTCCGCCAGAGCGCGCCATTGCGGGAATCCCGCGTTACAGTCAGAGATGGCCCCCAGAAAAACAAAAAAAGGGCCAATTTGGCCCTTTCCTTTTACAAGACTGCAGGGTTAACACAGGCATAATACTTTAAAAGCCATCCCAGGGCTGGAAATTGTAATCGATACAGTCGTCAATGTAACAAGCATTTCATCCTTGGTGACCAAAAATTCTGGTTTAGTCACCATAGTACGGCATAATGGCAACTACATTTTTCTGTGTTGACGATCAATAACGGTTATTTTGTCACACATTATGTCCTTCTAGAAAATCATATTGAAAGATCTTTGTTTCTAAAACATTCAACATAAGAAAAGAAGTCAATCCGTCCTTTTGCTTTGTTGTATTGATTCTCTCATATCAGAAAACTTCCAAATGGCTGACCGAGTTTGAAATTGCCCTATAATGCATTGCAAACCCTTGATCATTGACTACGTCATGTAGGCCTAAGGATTGTTCTCTTGTAATGCACGGATCCTTCATACTAGTATCTGATTCAAAAGAAACTTTATTGAGTAGAAAACCTTCAAAAAGCACTTACTATTAAATTTTATCATAGATCCTAACAAACATCTTTATTTTCCTTGGTACCCTGATGCATTGTTTCCTTCTGTAGCTTTCAGTTTATTGGCCCCTTTCCTAAAAAATTGGCCCCTAAAAAAAGATCTTCAGGGGCCAGTTTGGCCCTCAAGTAAAATTTTCTGGCTGAAACACTGGGATAGCATTACTTTCCCTCTTTGAACAACTGACCCCAGTCATTAAATATGTTGTAAGGTAAGGTAAAATATTTAAGATGGATTCCACTCACAGTTCAAGCAATAAGTGCAAAAATTATTTACTAAAAATCTACTCACAGCACGGTAACTATTTGAATACTCACTTTAATTAATTTCTCTAAGTGACCCTTCGATTAAATTCTCAAGCATTCTTACCATGAGATTTTTTTGGTTACTTTATTTTTGCCATTATTGCTTGAATGTTCTGTGGAAATCATCTTAAATACACAGTAACAGTATTACAGCAATGCTGATGTGGTTGTGTCTTAAAAATAACAATCCTATTTAAAAGACTATCTAAAAGGTAACTACAGTATAACATAGCCTCAGCGAAGCGCACTTTCTGATTGGCTAATACGCTAGATCCATTTGCCCATGGGTTGCACGCTGACGTCAGTTTGTTTATTTGCACTTTTTCTTGGCAATTTTTTTCATAGATGTTGACACTTTGTAAGCCATAATTCCTATTTTTCTTCTCCTAAAATATGGAAAAATCTAATAATTCTTCCGGAGTTGAGGAATATTGTTCCTGTTAGCTACCAGATTTCAAGCTTAAGTTTCTTGCTGAGCCTCCACTAAGAAATTTGTGAGGTTAAGCGAACAAGAGTTGAATCAGCTGGTTGAACAAAGGCACTTGGCACTCAGAGACAACCAAAACAACAAACTGGTCTGTATCAACCTTTCAAGGTTACAGTGTATAGCGGGAATTTTAAAGAGAATTTTCTAGCGATTTGACAACAATGAAATTCGGCACAAGCTTTCACTATAAAACTTTTCACTATAAAACTTTTCTGGCATCCGGAGCCATTTAAATGCTTTCAGCGAACAAAACATGAAAGCTTCAACAAATCTCTTTTGGTGAAGTCTTACATACAAAATCCTTCTGTTCCAAAAACGTTAAAGGTTATAGTTTTTCTGAGCTTTAGTAAAGGGAGATTTAGTAAAATATTGGTAGCCTCTGATGAATTATTTCAATTCTCGGGTATTAGTTTTGCTCGAATGCTCGTCGCTCGATTGTGAATTGAACTCTTGAAGAAACAGCCGCTCGAAGGAAAGACCGCGTCGTGCACAAACATAAGCTTACATTTCTGACATTTTCCTTTAGACCTCTGTCTTGCGTTCATTTAAGCTTATTTTACCAAGTAACAAATGTGACAGAGATCATTTTTAAAAGCCATTTGTGTGTTCAAGTTCAGCCTTAGACACACAACTCATCAAATTTAAAATGAAGTGGAAGAAAACGTAACCCACAAACCTACGATTGAATAAGAGCATCTCAAACAGTTCAAAGCCAGTGGTGTTTGTTCGCTTTCTTCTCTGCTCTTGCCTTTAAGAAATGTCCAGTTCCACATTGTTCTTTCCTTTTGCCAAAGAGGCCGTGAAGGACAGAGAGCTCCGCTGCCAAACGCTTCAACCATGTGCAGTTTGTTTGCAATTCTTTGGAAAACTGATCCAAATTTAAGCTTAACCAACTTTTAAGAAAGGCTTTTACCGACTGCAATTTTTCATTTGTTGTCAGCTTGATATTTTGGTTAACTGAGCAGTTTGAAATTGTTTTTTTTGCCTGAGAAACTATTATCTCGCCGTGATCCAAGATAAGTTTTGATATGTCGCTTTGTCAGATTTTGGAATGAACATTTTTGCGCAGTTTATCGTGCTTTTGACTTCATGTAAGTCGGACAAGATTCAAAATAGTCTCAATGTTATAAAAGAAATGGTGAGCATGCAGTGTGCAACTATCGAGTTATGGATGCACTTGGGAGGTTTGCTAAGTACTCAAGAAGTTAAAGTCGCACTCTTGCCTCATGCAACTCTTACACTTCTTTCATGCTTAGCAACCTCCTGCGTGCATCCATAACTCGATAGTTGCACGCTGCATGCTTACCATTTCTTAATTACAAAGAAGTGTACTAAATGTATTGATTACATTAATAATATGTCCAAATATACAAAAACTGTAAAACAGAAATGTAAGCAGCATTCTCTAAAGGGACAATGTACTGACGCAAAATCAACGTCCATTTCGACATGTACAGTGTACATGTAGTACATGTAGGACTTGTTCATTCTAAGAGTGAACAACACTCGTTGATGTTTCATGCATTAAGTTATTTTATTGTATGCACATATTAATATTTCTATATATGTAGGTGTGGTGGCCTAATATGGTTAGTGTATTTACCTCCTGATTGAGTGGTCCAGGTTTGAGCCCTTTCCAGGGACTTTGTGTTGTGTTCTTAGGTGAGACACTTTGCTCCCACAGTGCCTCTCTCCACCCAGACATATAACTTAGGAATCTACTGCTGGGGGCAGGAGAGTAGATACACTCTTTATTGGTTAATGTTACTAAAACGCGAGATAAAACAAGATAAAACAAGATAAAACACGAGATTAAAAAAGATAAGACGCGAGATAAACACCTGCCTGATGGGCAACTTGGTTGGTATGCAGACTTTCCCTTTAACCTTGTACATATTATTTTACTGTTACCATTTCTTTGATTTCAAACTGTTTTTGATTTGATCATTTCATTCAGGGTATACCTGATCAACCTGATCAACCTGCAGAACCCCAGGAACACGGAGAACAACCACAAGGTGAGGGTGGAGATGAAGCCCCAGCATCAGGAGGTCTGCTTACAAACAGTGTAACTTCATCATCTTACTCTATCATTAAAATGGAAAGCATTTTTTCATTTTATCGAGATTTAGGATAAATCTGCTAGCATTCTATCATAAATGCTACTCTGATTGGCTAGGCTGCTTACTATCTACACTGTTGTAGATAGTGAGTAGCATAGCAGTGTGTGCTTGTTAACAAAATAATGTCCACATATTTGAATTTTCGAGGTGTCTTTGAGGAGAATTTAGAAAAAGTTTTGAACAACTTAGTAAATTTATACTAAAGCAATTAAATTTTGAGCTCTCGATTTCTATGCAAGATGGTATTGGCTGCGTTCTCGTCAAATATCACATGATAGAAATCTCGTGCTCATAATCTAATTATTGTGAGGTACATGTACATGTAGAAACACAGTGGAAGCTTTAGGGTATAGTAATGGTATAGGAACACAATCTACAGGCTAGTGTTTCCTCAGCTTTTTTGCATTCTTGCAACTTTCATGAGTATTAAGATAATAGTGTTGAGTTGGAACTTATAGACTTCGGGTAAAATTCGAAAGTTCATTTTCCGGAATAACCTAGTAAAATTTTTGAGTARCCTGATCTATAAGATCAAAAAAAAAAAAAAAAAAAWTKACAAAGAAAAGATTTAATTTGACACAGGGCTTATAGTCTCTTGGACTGGAGACACCCTTGAGGGTACACATTAACCTTAATTTCAGTTGATTACCAAAATATAAATTTTCTTTGTGGGTGCCATCATTAGGTAAACAGCTTCTACTATGTACATGTAGTTAAGTGTTTTATCAAGGTATAGAAGTATGGTGTTCACTTTCTTGCAGGTTATTTTCTAAATAACAAATATTCCACAAGAGTACATCTTCAGACTTTTTTTTTTTTTTCCGTGTTTTCTTACATCCCTAGCTTTCTTTTTTTCACAGAAAGTGGTCTGGAATTCTTGCGTCGACTACCCCAGTTCATCAGTATGCGGCGAATGGTTCAGCAAAACCCACAATCCTTACCTGTGTTACTGCAGCAACTAGGCCAGGAAAATCCAGAGCTACTTGGGGTACAGTAACTTAGTAATGTCACAAAACAATCCAGGCTGGCAAAGTTGTAAGCTTGGCTTTTGGTTGAAGTATTAATTGGTGAACATTCATATTAAATTTAGTATTCGATGCCAAAAAGCATCGACAATGGAACTTTGCCTTGTGATCACCTCATAATGCAGTCACCTTGTTATTATGGCCACCATTTTGTCCTGGCAAAATGCCCATACACTGTACATTTTCTTATAAGAAAACCTAATGTCAAATCGTGTTGCATAAGAGTTGGCCTAACCGTCTTTCAATCAACAACAGAGTCATCATCATTCCTTTTTAACAATGTCAAGTCTTGTGGTTTCAGCTACTTTTTATTTTAAATGTTTTGTGTGTTCTGATTCGATTCCACTCTAGATTATAAGTCAACATCAAGAAGAGTTTATAAGTATGTTAAATAGCCCGGACTCAGCTGCTGGCGGTGCTGTGCCAAGTGAAGGGTCACAGGAAGTCCAGCCTGGCTCAGGAGGTGAACAAGCAAGACCACCAGCTGGGCAGGGACCTGGTGCCCAGCAAGGTGTTAGCTACATCAATGTCACAGAACAGGAAAAAGAAGCTATTGACAGGGTGTGTATCTCTGCTTATTAGCATCACTGAGAGGCGATATATTCCAGAAACCTGATTTAATAAGTAGAAAGAGGCCAGGTCTGCCTTCAAATCTGGTGATCCATAAGGCTGGCTCTTAGTTCTGGTTTCCATAGCACAAGGCAAGCAGGAATATTTCTTTTCCCTCCCTGGATGGGATGCTAGTCCATCAGAGGGTCTTCCCCCAGTTGAGTACTAAATCACCATATTTACCCATTTATATACTCCTGGATGAAGAAGACATTTTGAGAGTAAAGTTCTTTGCCCAATAACACTACACACTGAGTCACAATGGCCACTCCAGAACAAGTGGTTTAGGCATGATGCTCCCCACAGTAGCCCATAAAACCAACCCTACATTCCCAATTTTATGTTTATTGTGTTACGATTCTCTCTTGTTTCTCAACAGCTGAAAGAACTTGGATTTTCAGAGACTCAAGCTGCTCAGGCTTATTTTGCTTGTGACAAGAACGAGAATTTGGCTGCTAACTTTCTATTTAGCATGGATGACGAACAATGATGGTTTCCATTCTTTTCTGGCAATTTCTTTCCGTCACTGCTAAATTGGTTGTCCCAGAAGGACCTTCTAGACCTTATTATGCTACTTTCTGATGCTAACCTTCATAATTATAATTATGGCTGCTTTAATTATGCTAATTATTAATTGTGGTAATTAATTATATTGGTCATAGTTATGGTAATAACATTCCATGTAATTATTGTAATGAAATTATAATATAATTATCATCACTAATGACTATGGTTTAGTTTTAATGAGGTCCTTTTCCAGTTAATGTCATCGTTTTATCAGTGTTGTTATAGAGCCAGTCAAAGGAACTATCAGAGCTTCAGGGCTTAAAAGCTTCAAAGCAATTTAATAAATTGTGGTCTTAAAGAAAATTCTACGTATGGAAACATGAAAAATGTGAACTAGTGACCTGTTGATGGAGAATGCTTCCATGATCAACAAAAGTGACATTTATTATATTATCTTCTGGTCTTATTTGCATGCAAGGATGTGTTGTATTCAAGAATGGTTAACCTTCATTGCTTTTGTCTTTGTCCTCTTGAAGCGTTTAATGTGCGTTTTGACTAAAATAGTGGGTAGTGATGTAAGGTATGGGGGTATGGGCACTAGTGCCCATACCCCTATTTCCTATATCACTGCAGCTGCAATGGAAGTTAAGTTGCTAATTGTTGGTACGTCGAAAAATGAGTGATGAGTTTTTACTATGCAGCAGTTTTGCCAAGTATTATGGTAGTGAAAGAAAAAAAGTGTCGTGTCCCATTTCAGGATTTTCCAGTACAGTAGGTAAACTGTTTGCAGTTGAGTAGTTGACATTATATCTACTTCCAGCTGTGGCTTGCTAAGAACTAATAGCAGCCCCCTAATTGCTTGGATTATTAAATCAGTTTTTAAGATTCGGGGTTTAGTAATGTTTATTAACCCACAAACCGTGCCACTTTACAAATCTCTGGATAATTTGATTGGTTCACGTTAAAATAATGGGAAGGGTACTAGCATGTGTGATAGCTGGTGTCTCAGGAGGAAATCCGTAACATCGAGACTGATTTACATTAAGAAGAAACCATCAATGAGCTCTAAACCTGAGCCTGTGTTATGGTCACGTAACACTGGTCAGCAGACACCTTGTTTTGACAGGTGTCAATTGACCATGATGCGACATGGGTGTCCAATATCAAAGATGTACGCTATAAACCAAGAAACCACGGATTCCTTTGAGATCGTAAGGCTTTCATTGCATGTCCATATTTCAGTCTTAAACTTAGTTTGCAACAGACCAATTTCGATATATTAAAATTCAGCCTTAAACAATGGACCTCAGGACGAAGCTTCTGGGGAATAACTACAGAGTTTGTGGGGCTTATTCCCCAGAGCCTCGTGCTGAGGTTTATTGTGTTAGGTTGTGTTAGGCACTCCGCTGTCAGTCTCATCCCATTAGTTCTATTTCGCGTAACGCAGGTCTGAAAATACAGTGAGATACGAGGGTTTCTTTAAGGGACCGGTCACTGGGCAAATTGACCTGCTTTAAGGACGATTTTGCCCGTCTGGAAAATCCAGTTGCTCTCCTGCTGAAAACGTTAATGAAGCCGCTGGAGATAGATTTCACTTCCGGGCAAAGTTAAAATTTGAATCACTTTGTATGGTAAAAACAGCAATAGAGCGTAAGCTCTCAAATTTATTGATCCACCTTGCGAAAATGTTATCCGCGAAATATTTGTTTCACCATTTAACAAGGTTTTCGCGAAATTTAATTATAATGTAATGTTGTCATGGCAGCCACGTATGGGAAAATTTGTTAATATGGCCGCCGTAACGTCATATGAAAACGATTTATTGCACGTGTCCCTGCTGCCATACGACATGGTACAAGGGGTCACTATATTCAACATTAATTACGCTGTATACGACTATTAAAATTCGGTTTGAAATTGTAGTCGGCCTTTCCACAAATATCCGGACATATTTTGGGGGATATTTAGAAATTTCCGAAATATTTAGGAAATATTAAGATATTTAGAAAATTTAGAGAAACGGTTTAAAAATAGTCATAGCTTTTTTGGCGTAGCCCTGTGTGCTCCTCGCTATTAGTGTTCTCAAAACAATACGCAGTTCTATACCCGATCAACTACCCACTTCAAAAACGTATTCCATATCACTAAGTGCTAAAGCAGCAGTTTTTCAAAATGGCGGATACTGGTAACATCGACGTGCCTGAATCTTCTTCTCAACCCCTACGTACTACTGCAACAAAAGTTTGAAAATTTTGGTCGAATTGATTCAAAATCTACATTTAAACAAAAAAACATCTACTTAGAGGGTTTAAATTTTGAAAAGTTTTTTTGTGGTATTTGGAATTTTTTTTGAGAATTTCCGCAAAGATATTTAGGCGATTTTACGTGGGTTGGTCAGCACCAAGAAACGCGGAGTGTTGACCAAGAGGAGCGCGGAATCTGGAGACGAGATTCTCGTCAGCCTCCGTTTTTAAGACGAGTAGCGCTGGGGATGAGAATGAGTTTTGGCGGGAATAACGGCGGGATCTGCACTTGCGCAGTACGTTTGACTGTTCTGTACAAGAGACTCGCAAGAAAACAATTAAATATGTCCCTCTTTATTTCCTCTCATCGTAAAATCCTTCAGTCTTCATACAACTGGCTATGCTCCATATGTCGACCCTTCTATTAGTTATTTAACTTTTGAAGGCCGTTCAAGTTTTTTGATATGCCTAAATACTGAACGAGTCATCTATCTTTATAAACGCTCTCTTTCTCTCCGAACCGTTCATATAAATATATAATTCAATTTCTTTGTTGATATAATTAATTCCTTTGTTATATTTTATATTTAATTTAACACAGCGTTATAAATTAGCCTTTTAGCATTGAATAAACAAATAAATAAACAAATCTCTTCAAATGAACATAACTCGTACACGCTTCATATCAGTTGAATTGCATAGTTATTGCGTTGTATTTGATTTGCTATTTTGTCCACGTATTTAAGTTAAAACAGATGAAATTGCGCCCTACATGTCAGCAACAATTCAAGAATTGTTTTCTTCTTCCACTAGGTCCCAGACCTTTTTCAAGACTCTTTTGCAATAGCGAAGTCTTTCAACCATTTCCGACGCGCAGCCCTGCGAGCTTATATCAGACATAAGGTAACTTGTTCCCTCGCGCTGTTTGTCGATGTAGATAACTAAAACATCTCCGGCTCCTGGAACAAGAACAATCTTAGTGTGGTCGTTGAAGAAATTTACCTGTGGGGAAATAAATAAATTGTCGCATTTAGTCTTACCTACTTATTAACCGAGAGTGAGGTCTTTTATGGAAAAACCTCAGACCGAGGCCTTGCCACAGCGAAGTTAATGAGTTGTTTTAATAAGTTTTTAATAAGTTAATATATTTTTTTTTTGTTAGTGTGTTGTCTATTATATGGCTTTTTGCGTTGTGTTTGCAGCCTGTAATCGGCCCGTGGGCATTGCGGCAGAATAATGCCTTAGAAGTAGCCAATCAGAGCCAATANCCAGAGCCTCCGTTTCTTTTGGTCACGTGTTTTAAGACGAGTAGCCTTGGAGACGAGAATGATGTCATGACATTTCGCGCCAAAATAGAGTACGAGAGAGCGAAGGACTGGGTCCCAGGCTGAACCAGCAAATAACATTAATTTTATTTTGAAAAAAAAAACATTATACTGAGAAAAACAGAATTCTTGTTAAAAATCAGTTTGGAAGCGAGGAAGATAAAGGCAGGAATGAATGGAAATGATCGCAACATATTGTAGCAAAACTGAAAAACCTTCAGCTCGCGCTTTCCAATTTTTTAGGCGAGAATTTTTTTCCAAAATCTACATCAGCCTCCTTCAGACTTGTAATATCAAAAGAAACTAATTCATACCCATTTATACCTGTACTCCTTGGTAAAGTGAGGCATTTACCATTGTGAGAAATAAGAGTCTTGTCACAGCATACCGTGACAAGATCAACCCAACTGGGCTCGAACCCAGACCTCTCGCTGTTCGGCCTACTGACCATGAGCCAGCCACGTTGATCTCCCTCGAATTTGTGAACCTTATTTGATCTTAATAAGGAAGCGTACCTTCAACAAATGCTTGTCCATGTAATTCGCAAAGTAACTGAGCAGCATAAACTTAGCCTGTAAGTTCGTCGGTACAGCGGACGCCCTAAACTGACATGCGTTGTTCACTTGATCGCAATAATGCACAGTACTGTTGAGAACATACCAAAGAGTTAGCGACATGACAGCAACGACGACCACCTCAACATTGGAACATGAAGTTTGATTACAAGTTAATTCACCCTAGAGTGGTCAACGATTGAAAGGATGCCGGGATGATCAAAGGAACTCAGTCGCGACATTTTGAGTTCTTTAAGCCAGGTACAAAATTACCTTTAAATTGAAAGAAACAATTAACCTGGAAATAGTAGTTTACTAAGATAGGAAAAAAACCAAAGAGATAATATTCAACCATAAAAGAACAGGGATGGTTAAGGATGGAGAAGATTAACACGGATTACAAACGTCGAACTTGATAAATTGAGGCTAAACTTTTCAAAATGCGCAAACCGTGACGCGACTCTTTTAAGCTGCGAGGACCTGGCTCTAAAGGTTTTGTTTAGAGAAACAAGAAGACTGAAGTTGCAAGTTTGAAGGCCTGCGGAGTCACGATGAATCCATCTCCAAAAAGCTGAATATCCATACCACCATTTTTAAAAGTATTGAGGTGCGCATAAATGCATTTCAACTGTGTCAATATCAAATTAAAGCGAAGATGAAAATTCTGTAAATTCTGCATTTTTTGACGTGAATTCGTCAAAAAAAAATATACGTCCTTGAAGCTAAATTTGCGAGCCGAGTTTTGGAACCCACAATAGTTACATTTATCGCGTTTAATTCTTGCAAATTGTTCCAAGTGATGGAATGAATCATTCTCTCCCAGCTCCATTCATCTAGCTCATTACCTCTCCTTCCCCTCCCAAGCACCATATGAGGCATTATGTGGGAGGTAGGGAGAGGAATATGGAGGATTGATAGGAGGGAGGGAGGGACGGGAGGTGTTTGTTAGAGGAATTGTACTAACCTTTTACCAGGCGAGAGTGCTATCTTAGTGCAGTCATTAAACCTGACAGTGACACTCCCATCCGACAACTGGGCTCCAAATCCATATTTATTGCTGTAATCAACCCACTTCGTAACCAATAAAGACTTGGGTGCATCGCGCAGTAGCGTCCCCCCGGATTTCTTAATATTTCCCGATGAGTGACAGGGGGGCCTTTTCGCTCCTGGTTCTGAAGATTTGCAGGGAGTTGTCTGTTGGCGTTCTTCAAGGCATTCCAAGCAGTTGGAAAGTTTGGACATCAAGTTATCCGGCGGAAAGTATTTTAGCCTTTTCTGACCTAAAGAATAAGAAAAAATGGCTTACTTAGAACAAGGAAAGTCAAAACTATCGTGAACAAATGTATAGCCAATGGCAAACATGATGCGCAAGAGTTGTTGTGAAGTCCTCGAGAAGCATTCCCAATTCAAACCCCTCTGCGGCACCGGGGGAGACTTTCATGTAAGAAGTCCGGGGATTCTTGTTGGACAATTTGATCTGAACCCGTACGTAAAGGAGACCAATCTCGACCTGGCTCGATCACGTTACCAGCAGCTGTGCGGGAAAGGAGCCCACGCTGGTGGACCGGACCCAGGAGACTGAGCTGACGGAAATCGAGCTTAAAAGCGGAAATAAGAGCGTTTTTTATTATCATTATTTCTTGGATCGAATGCACCTCTAAAAGATACAGCTAAAAATAGCGGTGCATCGTAATGAACACCCTAAATAAGACCAGAATCCTTGATTTACACCCCTACGCGAGATGAAGAGCATCTCCGACTTTTCATATGGCAGTTTCCCCACCCCTCTTGGTGGCCGGGTTTGTGAGTTTGTGGTACCCGTAGATGACGAAGGAAAAGTTGCCTGCGCCCTAACGTTGCTTACGAAATTGTTGAATTGACTTCGCACAATTGTCGTAAGCCTGTCGCATGTGTCAAAAAGTACGGTTTAAATCGTTTCCGAGACTGATAAGTTTTTGCACACATTCCGTGGACCGAAGCTCCCGATTTTCTTTCTACGTCCACTTCAAGATGTCGCCCATTTACGTTTCGCACTTTTTTTGAGCAGCTGCATATTGTTTAGAATTTATCAACTGAGTTCGGTATTTGACGTTCGCTAATGTTCCGTACTGCACACAGATGAAAACAAGAGATTAGAATTTTGATGTCAAGCAATGATTTTGTGATGTAATTATTAGCAACCGACAAAAAAGTACGAAAAAAAAATTATATGCCTTTAAAAAAAAGCATTTACCCTGCTAACATCCAAGAAAAAGGTAATTTTATTGCAATATTTTACCTTCTTGTCCTGTATCCCGATTACACGAGCTTTCATTAATTTCACTTAATCCACTGTCTTTTTCACTTGAAGAAACCGGTTTCCCAATGTCCTCGTTATTCACTGCTTCGGTGTAACAATCTTTTCCCAGTGTATCCTCGTTCTCGTCCGTACCAAGTGTCATTTGTCGCGACAAAGCCATTGATATTTTTTTAATCGCTTCTTTAGATATTTTCTTCTCGGAATCTCCGTTCTTCTCGTATTCAGACCACTTGGGCGATGTTGTCACCACTGAGGCTGGAAGTCGGTTTGGGAAGAATCCTTTCTTGAAAAATTCGTCGGCGAGAATCTCACTAAGCGACGGCCTCTTGGCGGGGTTTGCGTGTAGCATTTTTTGAATGAGCTTCGCCGCGCTGTCCGAAATACGAGAGGGAATCGTGTATTCATTGTTTCTTATTCGATTGTAGGTCTCTCTTAAAGACTTCGTTTCAAAAGGGGGATGTCCAATTAACAGTGTGTACCTGAAAAACAACAGAAAATGCGTTGTTATCACATAAAAACATAATCACCAGCTACAGTAGACTTAATAATATTTCGTGCGCTCACTTTTTCCTTGGCGCGAGAAACGTTCTTATGAAGTATGTCTCAGACAAAGATCTGATTGGTTGATCCTTACGCGTATCGAGTATTAACCAATCAGAGAAGCTACACGGATCTCTGATAAGCTGCGTCATCAGAATGGAATATTTTTTGGGGGGAATGTCAGACCTTTCTTCAACGAGGGAAGAGATCGACGAGCCAAATAAGATATCTTTTTATCCAGGCTATGAAAATAAATACTTTTCCTCAGCTGACATGTTTGCCTTGCAAATCTCAGTATGGGGTTTAATGGGTATGAAATTGCATTGTGCACTTATTCTGGTAATGACAGAAACTCGATAAAAATTGTGGAGATTTTGAGATTTTGCAAACTGTAGAAAGTATATGGGAGGAATATCTTGAATACTGACCGATAATTTACTTCAAGGTGTAGTGTTTGGATATCTTAAGTATTGTAACCTTTAAATGCACCATTTATAGGAAAGCAGGTCTCTTACGCTGTTATCCTTTCAACTTGGTAACTGAATTTTACTTTTCAGTTTCAGAGTTCGTTCCTCTATCGGGTGAATTTTCTATCGCACTTGCTAAGAAAAATGACCTTGGTGAAGTCGTTAGATATCCCTGTAAAGTGCTCTCACTCACATAGCCAGGAGCCATAAAAAATGTATTGGAACAAAAGAAAGTTCTTACAAGAAAACAGAGTTTAACTCTCAAAGGATTAGTTTGGGGTACTCCCATTTTTCAGGATGACTTTTCAAGTAGACTTACATGACACAGCCTAAAGCCCACGTATCCACTTCGTAACTATGCCCTTCTTTAGTCAGAACCTCTGGAGCAATGTAGTTTGGTGTACCACACATTGTCCTGGAAAGAAGAAAATAGTCACTTAAGAATATATAGAGCTTGTTATAAAATAAATCTTGGCGAACACCACTCGTCTATGAGAGCTTTCCTCGAAAATAAGATTAGCTTATCTTTGGCGGGTTTATTCTGTTCAAGATGTAACTAGCAAATCTGCGCGCGCATTGGTTTTAGACTTTTGTCGAGAACTCTAGTTGGTAGATCAGTGTAGACTATGAAAATGGTCTAATTTGGTTGCAATATGTCCAAGTTAACTCCTTTAAGACTCTCAATCTTTCCCAATCTTAACCAGGTTTTGGTTTATTATTGTTTCTTTAGGGATTTTTCCACGTTACTAAACTACAGTTTAGAGTTTTCTTTCCATGTGATGGCAAACAATTTTCAATAGATTCTGAAATGGTCCTCCACCCTTTCTTTGGAATTTTAAACAGGACGAAAAGAGAATTTCACTTTATGCTAAATTAGTAAGTCGAGGGATGTAATAACTGAAAATTGCCGGCATACTTAATTTTAAATGTGACGTGGTATTTTTAATTACTTGATCTTCTTTTCGCCTTCCTTCAGCCTCACTGCTAAGCCAAAGTCACCAAGCCTCAATTCCATGTCAGCATTGAGAAAAAAGTTACCGACTTTGATGTCACGATGTATCACACGTTGGGCGTGCAGATACGAGCAGGCCTGTACGGCTTGATACATTAAGTATCGCACTTCGGGTTCCGTTAGCTTTCCACGGTTTTTGAGCGTCTGCACTAAGGACTACGAGAAAACACATAAGGTATTACAAAAGAGTAGCGATTAAATAGATCTCCCAGTTATAGCATCTGGTCAATCACAGTGAACATAAGAAACGTGATGAGCCAACCAAATTCAAAGAAAAAGCGAGCATCCTGTGTCAAGCGCGGGAAATAGACAGCAGGGTTTAAAGCGTGGGGAATATGCACTGGGGTGCAAAGCGCGGGATATCGTACAACCTATGTGAAGCGCGGGAAAACGCACTTAACTGCGGCACGCACGAGTGTTTTGGTGAATTTTACTATTGATTGGTTAAAAACCAGTAGCATTGTTCTGAATGTTTTGAGCACTGAAAAGATTTTCTTTAACCAATTAGGAATACTGCTCTAATTAATAAGAGACGTTACTAGCAATAGGCATTTGTCAGTATAAATTTACAGAAAATTAACGCTTCATGAAATTAACGCAAATTTCAAAAATGCGTTTTAATTTAAGTCGCGCTAATTAATGTTGATGTTAATTCCGCGCTGTTAATTAAGTTGCGCGTTAATTTCCGCGACGTTAATTACCGTTATTTCCCCCCCAAGTCTATGACACACTCCAGACATTCTTGACACAGCCAAACAATAAATTTTATTCGCACACTTCACATTTCCCATCAATCTTTCATATTAGTAAATCGTTTACTGTACTTCAAACGAATATTCTTTGTGTTCGCTGTCATCTTTACAATGTTAAAATAAATTTGTTCCTGTTCTCAACAAATTCTGTTATTTTTTTGGGAGGGGTTGGGAGGAGGGTAGCAACCGCGTTAAATTCCCTCATTTTCAAATTTTACCCCCTCTCTCGCGTTAGTTTCCTTTATTGGGAAGCAAATTTACCTTCAGTTCGCGTTAACTTAAGTCGCGTTAATTTCAAATACGTGAATTAACACGAGCGTTAATTTCCTATAATAAGTTACCTTCCGGCTGCAGAGCTCTAGTAATATGTACACGTGTTGATCGTCTTCAAAATGGCCATGAAAACCGACCACGTGACGTTGCCGAAGACTCTTATGAAGTTCAATTTCCGTTTCAATCTGCAAGATAAACAGTTCATTTGTAGTTCCTATAGTTAATACGTAAAAGATCACTTAAGTTATACACGAAACTTCAAGCAGTCGTGAAGAGAAATCCTGAGAAACATTTAGACTTGAATGGGGTTTGAATCCATTACGTCTATCTATAAAACTTTATGCAAATGCGGCACCCCAACATCTCCTCGATCTCACAAACTGTAACCAAGTCCATCCTTTATCCCCCTCTACCCCATCCCCCTCCTTAGATTTTACAAATTCTAACCACGTCCAGCCAAAATATTAATTAGGGTTGAGATGCAAGAAATCAAGACAACAATAACTTACTTAAGAGCAGCGGAAATCGTCCCTCACCTTGTTATACCTGTCTGCAGACTTTGTGAGTTTAGCCTTTGGTACAGCTTTCAGAGCGTAAACTTTATTGGTGGACATATCGGTGACCTCGTAGACACGGGCGAATCCACCCTAGGAAAAGAGAAAAAAGAACAATGATGCGATATCAAGTTATGTTTCACACGATGCAAGAAACACACGTATTAGCTCTCGGCGAGGTCTTGTAGATATCCATCAATCATACAAAAAATGTTCGTAGAAAAGAACAGATGTCAGAAATGGAAAAACCTTGACGAAGTTAGTAAGATAGCCCGCCAGTTTTAAGTTCATTGACATTTGAGCGCGAGATTAATTTGAAGGCTGTTTGAACGTTAAAACGGATTTGTACGCCAGATGGCAAAGCCAGCGACTTTTTTTACCGTGCAAATCTACTTATTAAGTTTTCACACCTTCAAACCGTCACATAAACATACAGATTTTTGGCTCTAAAATCGGTGTACCTTGAAATAAATGATTATACGCTTTTCAAGTCTTGTCGAGTTGCCAGCTTTTATCAGCCGCAATCAGAGTACTGGGAGCGAATTGAGATTGGTACCACAATACGCGCAATTTAACCTTACAAAAACAAAGAGAGATTTCCGCCATATAAATGGTCTCTTGATGATTGCACTTAATTAATTATAAAGTAGCTATAAAATGTGTTTTTGTGGTGTAAAAAAGGAAAACAAACTCAACACCAGCTAGTCATTTTAAATCAACACTAATTTTAGCGCACCGAAAAAAATAATCGTACAGTACTAAAGTAAGGCCAGTGACAGTGTTCTATCAGCGTGCACAAATTGGAAAATCAGTTTTAAATTTGTCTCATTCTAGGAAAACAATTTGTTGTTTAAACTTCAAGATAAAAAGGAAGTAATTAAGCTTCTCTCTGTGCTCTCAGACAACTGATTGGCGGCTTATCGCCCTTATTAGAGTAAAATTTTAAGCGTTAAAAGTTGGTGAAGAGTTCAAATTTCTGGGCTTCTACACTGTACGGTCTAAAATTT